GTCCAGGGACAGGGCCACGAGCGGTACTTCCTGCTGGTTGTCGACAACTACACGCGTTACACCACGGTCTTCCCCTTGCGGAGCAAGGCGGATGTCCCTGCTGTTTTGATCCCCTGGATCCGCGCAGTTCGTCTCCAGCTCCGCGAGCGGTTCCGGTCGGACTTTCCTGTCCTGCGTCTGCACTCTGACAGAGGTGGTGAGTTCTCCTCCAACCTCTTGGCAGCCTACTGTGCGGAGCACGGCATCGCCCAGTCGTTCACGCTTCCGGCCTCTCCGCAGCAGAATGGGGTTGCTGAGCGCCGCATTGGCTTAGTCATGGAGGTCGCTCGTACCTCCCTGATCCATGCGGCTGCCCCCCATTTTCTGTGGCCGTTTGCGGTCCGGTACGCCGCGCATCAGCTCAACCTCTGGCCCCGTGTCTCCTTGCCGGAGACCTCGCCCACACTGATGTGGACGGGGAAGGTTGGTGATGCGTCGCGTTTCCGGGTCTGGGGTGCTCGTGCCTTTGTCCGCGATACCACCGCGGACAAGCTCTCCGCCCGCGCTGTTCCCTGTGTCTTCCTTGGCTTTGTCCCTGACGCGCCTGGTTGGCAGTTTTACGACCCCGCTTCGCGCCGTGTCTTTGCGTCTCAGGACGTCACGTTCGACGAGTCGGTTCCCTTTTACCGTCTCTTCCCCTACCGCACTGCCTCGCTCCCCCCCCCGCCGCTCTTCCTCGCTCCAGGTGCTCCCCAGGTAGACCCCCTCCCCGCTCCCGGTCCTGCTCCTTCAGGTGTTTCTCAGGTAGACCCTCCTCCCTTGACTGCGCCTGTTGAGGTCACTGGTGACTCAGGTCCTACTGAGAGTGGTCCTGCTCGGGGTGCTACTTCTGGGGGTGCTGAGCCTAGGGGTGCGGAGCCTGGGGGTGCTGAGCCTGGGGGTACTGAGCCTGCGGGTGCGGAGCTTGAGGGTGTAGAGCCTGGTGGTGCTGAGCCTGAGTGTGAGGGGTCTGGGGGTGCTGAGCTTGGCGGTACTGACGCTGGAGGTTCTGGAGCTACTGAGGGTGCTGGCGCTGGAGGTTCGGGAGCTGCTGGAGGGCCTAGTACTGGTGACGCTGGAGCTGGAGGTTCTGGAGCCGCTGGAGGTACTGGTGCTGAGGGTACTGACACCGGAGGTTCTGGAGCCGTTGGGGGTGCGGGCGCTGAGGGTTCTGAGTCTGCTGTTGCGCGGTCTCCTTGGAGTGGCCGCCTTCGTCCACGTGTGCCTCTCACCCCACAGCAGCTGCAGGACTGGTACGGTCGCCGTCAGCGCCGCGCTGCTGGAGCTCGGAGTCGTGCTGGTCCTTTGTCTACTGGAGGTGCTGGAGTTGCTGGTTCTGGAGGGGCTCGTGCTGGAGACACTGAGGCTGGAGACCCTGGGACTGGAGGTGCTGGCTCTGGGGGTGCTGCTGCTGGAGACACTGAGGTTGGAGACCCTGGAGCTGGAGGTGCTGGTTCTGGGGGTGCTACTGCTGGCGACCCTGAGGTTGGAGACCCTGGGACTGGAGGTGCTGGTTCTGGGGGTGCTGCTGCTGGAGACACAGAGGTTGGAGACCCTGGGACTCGAGGTGTCGGCTCTGGGCCTGGAGGTACTAGAGCTGCTGGAGGCACTGGAGCTGCTGGAGCTGCTGGTACTGGTGCAGCTGCGCCGACACGACTGTTCTTCGCTCCGCCGTCTCCGTCGTCTCTGCCGCCGTCTGCCTCTGTTCTTCGTCAGGTTCTTACTCTTCCGTCGTCTACTGGTCTTCCGTTACAGTCTGGCTCACCGCTGCCTGCTCCTTCTCCTTACACTGAGCTGACTGGTAGTCCTGCTGAGTGTCGTGAGCCTGCGTCGCGTCCTGTTTCGCCTGTTCGTCCTGGTCGTACCGGTCGTCGTGTTCCTCGTTCGCGTCAGCCGGCTGTCCCCGGCGCACACCTCGTAGTCCGTTGTCCTTCCTCTGCTCCGCCGCCTGTTCCTCTGCCGTCTCCTCCTGCGTCCTCTCTGCCTGCCGTTCCGGACCCTGAGTCTGACCGGTTTCGTACTGAGCACCCTACTGTCACGCGTCTCCTAGCCACTATTGTCACTGACCCGTCGTTTGAGTCTACTGCTGCGTCTGCCTTGGTCGCTGAGCTTGTTGACTTTGCTGCTGCCTGTCGTCTAGACTACACCGCCAGTCTTGTTGCTGAGTCTGAGTCTGTCTGTCCTCCGTCCGTCGGGGGTGAGTGTGCTCTTAGCACGGACGTCCTTGAGGACAGGCAGGAGGAGTTCCAGTGTCTTGCTGCTGCTTTACCTCATCTTGTGTCCTCGCTACTTGCCCCTGAGGGAGACCCGGATGCACCAGACATCCCGACTCCGCGCTCTTACGCAGAGGCGATAGAGGGTCCCTACTCCTCTCAGTGGCAGGCAGCCATGGACGCAGAGATGGCTTCCTGGAAGTCCACAGGCACCTACGTTGACGAGGTTCCCCCACCTGGGGCGAACATCGTCAGTGGCATGTGGATTTTCAGGGTGAAGCGGCCGCCGGGTTCTCCGCCTGTCTTCAAGGCGCGTTACGTAGCTCGAGGCTTCAGTCAGCGAGAGGGAGTTGACTTCTTCCAGACCTTCTCCCCCACCCCGAAGATGACCACTCTTCGGGTGCTGCTGCATGTTGCTGCTCACCGTGACTACGAGCTTCACTCTCTTGACTTCAGCACAGCTTTCTTGCAGGGCAGCCTGCACGAGGAGATCTGGCTGCGCCGCCCCCCGGGCTTCACTGGGTCGTTCCCTCCTGGCACCCAGTGGAGCCTCCGGCGGCCGGTCTACGGTCTCCGCCAGGCGCCACGTGAGTGGTACGACACACTGAGGACTACGCTTGCGGCTCTTGGGTTCGCGCCTTCTACTGCTGACCCGTCGCTGTTTCTGCGCACCGACACTTCACTGCCGCCGTTCTACATCCTCGTGTACGTCGACGACTTGGTTTTTGCCACTTCTGACACTGAGGCTCTCGCCCACGTGAAGTCGGAGCTGCAGAAGAGACACACGTGCACAGACTTGGGTGAGCTGCGCAGCTACCTTGGCTTGCAGATCACCCGGGACAGAGCACGCCGCACCATCACCCTGACTCAGTCACACATGGTGCAGCAGGTCCTTCAGCGCTTCGGCTTCACCTGGTCTTCAGCACAGGCCACTCCTCTGGCTACAGGTCATTCGCTCTCAGCTCCACCTTCGGACGAGTCCGTAGAGCCGAGTGGTCCTTACCCAGAGCTAGTCGGCTGCCTCATGTACCTGATGACTTGCACTCGACCTGACCTCGCGTACCCTCTTGGTCTTCTGGCTCGCTACGTGGCTCCTGGTCGGCACCGACCTGAGCACATGGCTGCTGCTAAGAGGGTACTGCGCTACTTGTGCAGCACATCAGGCATGGGGCTAGTGCTTGGAGGGACGAGCCCAGTTGTCCTCACTGGGCACTCAGACGCTTCTTGGGTTGACGACCTGGCTACTCAGCGGTCGTCGCAGGGTTACACCTTCAGCCTTGGCTCTGGTTCAGTTTCGTGGCGTTCTACACGCTCGTCTTCAGTTCTCAGCTCCAGTTGTGAGGCTGAGATCTACGCCACAGCCATGGCTGCACAGGAGTTACGCTGGCTCACCTACCTGCTGACTGACTTGGGAGAGCAGCCTCGTTCTCCTCCAGTGCTGTACGTCGACAACAAGGCCGCCATTGCCTTGTGTGAGGAGCACAGACTGGAGCACAGAACGAAGCACATTGCTCTGCGTTACTTCCTGGCTCGAGAGTTGCAGCAGCGAGGCCAGCTTCGTCTTCGCCACGTGGCCACTCGGGCCAACACTGCTGATATATTCACCAAGGCACTTCCGTCTGGTGATCATCAGCGCTTTTGTACTCTGTTGGGCCTTGTGCCTACGTTTCCGCACTTGCTGTAGTCTCTGTTTGTACTGTGATCTATATATATACCTGCATGCTGGCTCTTGCTAGGTAGCCATCACTGTACTGTTATTGTTGCATATATATCTCTGCATGTGAACTGGCCCTGTGACCTTTTGCTTGTGCTCGGAATGCGTGGTGACGTTGTGATCCACCCTGAGCTTGTTTTGCTTCTCTTGACTGGTCATGTGACCCCTTGTTCTCCCCCACTTTGCCTATGGGGGTGTGTCAAACTATATGTGTTGCATATTGTTTAGGCTGTAGTGGGGTAGCCCATATGGGGTACAACCCAATTAGGGTTTACTACTTGTACTCCTGCATCCTGTTAGTTCATTCTTTGCTGCTGCTAGATTCTAACAGAAACTTTGTGTCGATACACTCGCATTCAGGGACCATACAAAGTATTCTCTGTAGAGTCAGACTCCACAAACGACTAACTCTGAAGCCTATTACACTGAATCAGGGGTCATAAAACAGTAGTCTGAGGCTCTCAGTGATGGAAATTTGACTTCTCTGGAAATACATTTTTCACAAACGGGATGGTCTGATTCGTCAGACTAATCAGACTAAATAGTCTGATAGCGTCAGCCCTGTATGTGACCATTTCACAGCTCCTAAGCTTAAGCGTCGCAAGAAGTAACAAGTTCAGGAAACTGCTTGGAATACAGCACCACTGGAATACGGTACACACGTGGCATGGTCATTAGTCACATGCACCAGTGATCCATGGTTTTCCTCCACCTCTATCCACACCACACACCTCTACAACAACCTGTATCAAGCCATGCCCCCTGTCTCAATTCACACACCCACTGAGCCTGATATTTGTCATCATCACAGCCATCTCATGATCCCAGCAGCAAGCCACCACTTCAAACACGAACAGCATCAGCAGCAAGATGCCACAGGGAAGACAAACAGCATGGCCCCACCCCACTCGCATCACAGCTCTATCCCTGAGGCGCCTCACACATCTAGTGTGAGCTTGATGTTCATCGCAGCCAGCTCAGCAACTAGATACCACTTGGAAGTCAAACGGCACTTCCCCACTCGCATCACAGCTTTGTCTCTGACATGCCTCACCTCACACATCTAGTGTGAGCTTAATGTTCATTGCAGCCAGCTCAGCAGCAAGGTACTTGAACACATACGGCATGGCCACTCGCACCACGCCTTTCCCCGTGCCACACACCCGACACACTGTCTTCTTCTGCCTCAGCTCGCCCCCCACCGTCCCATACCCCACGCCAGCCCCCAGCCCCAGGCCTGCCGCCGTAGCTGCATCCGAACCTGCCGCCCCGCCTCGGGGCCGAGCCAGCGCCGGAGCTAGAAGCGAGCCGCAGAGGGAGCAGACGTCAGTGGTGTGGTAATCGGAGCACGAGTGTAGCCGGTCGTGCAAGAGAAACGCCGCGCCGTGGGACAGCATTGCATCGCGCTCCATCTCCCCGAACCGCACTCCACCGCCCTTCTTCCTCCCCTTCACCGGCTGCTGCGTGAGAGGGTTCACAGGCCCGGTTGACCGCACCTGGAATTTATCTGATACCATGTGACGCAGCCGCTGATAATACACCACTCCTAGGTAAATCTCACACTCCATCTCACAACCATACACTCCGCTATACATGGTCTCCGTGCCATAGTAGCTGAATCCCTTCTCCAGCAGTTGCCGCCCAAATGTGTCCACCAGATCCTCGCGATTCTGCAGCTGATTTGATTCTCCCGCCCTGCCTGCTGCCGCTGCTGCCGCCGGACCTGCAGGTGTGGCAGCAGGCTTGGCAGACTGGCCAGGCTTGGCAGATGAAGCCGGGGTGGGGAGATCCAAGGGTGTGAAGCTTCCAGCACCCTTCCCAGCACCACCAACACCACCAACACCACCAGCAGGAGTGGCAGGCGTAGAAGGGGTGGGGGGAGCACCCGATTTCTTGTGCAGCTTAGAGCGGGCTACAGGGGTGGAGAGACCAGGGGTGGCAGCGGAGGAGTGGGCCAATCGGGAGGCGCCACGTGGCAGGGCAGGCTGGCGGGACTTGAGGCTCATGGTGAGCGGCGGGGGGTTGGGCGTGGCGGGGCGGAACGGAGAAGCATCCACGAAGTTTCCGTGCAAAGATCCACTCTGCCATGGAAAGGGGGGGGGGGGGGGGGGGGGGGGGGTGGTGAGAATATTCAAGCAACAAGTTAGGGGAGGTATTTGGAAGAAACACACTCATAACACCATGATAGTGAAGGGGGTGCTGGAAAAAGGGAGCTTAAAAAAAGGCCAGAGTATCAGAGGCTTATATGGGAGGGGAACACAACCCAGGGCGCATCTCGACTCACCTTAGCAGCTACCGACTCAACGAGCATGCAAATGGTCATGCGGGAGGGGAAGGCGTGCGGGTTGATGATGATGTCTGGACGCATGCCCAAGGAGGAGGCGATAGAGGGGGGAGAGACACCTGGGAAGCGAGTTGACTCAGGACAGGAATCGCTGTTCACACGACTTTCTCACCTTGGCTGCTACAGACTCGACAAGCATGCCGATGGTCATGCGCGAGGGGAAGGCGTGGGGGTTGATGATGATGTCTGGACGCATGCCAGAGGAGGAGGCGAAGGGCATGTCCACGTCCGGCCAGAGCTGTGACAGCACGCCCTTCTGCCCGTGCCGACTGCTGAACTTGTCCCCTATCTGTGGCATTCGGCCGAACCTTAAGCGAACTGAGGCCTGGGGATGGGGCGAGGGGTACAGTGGGGGAGAGTATTGATGGGTGCAGATGGGGTACAAGAGCTAACTACAGAGGGTGGAGGAGAGGGATCCGGACTGGGTGAGGCAGTGCGGCCTTCTGCCAGAGGAGGAGGCGAATGGCATGTCCACGTCGGGCCAGAGCTGTGACAGCACTCCCTTCTGCCCGTGCCGACTGCTGAACTTGTCCCCGATCTGCGGCATACGGCCGAAACGGAGCCTCACAGATGCCTGGGGGAGTGGGAAGAAGGGGTACAGAGGCAAAGAGAGGGGTGAAGCTAGTTAGATGGGGATATGAGATGGGGATACAGTGGTCGAACCTTAGAGTTGCAAATATCTTAGTGAGGGCCGTCTTGGGGCTGGTGCCGATGATGGTTACCCCATCCACCACCGCATCCTCCTCCCACCCCTTCAGCTTCGTCTCATCCGCTCATGGTTAGAATAGCCCCTCCCTTTCCAGTTCACCTTCATCTCATCGGCTCTCTCTTCACAGCAGCACTCATGGTGCCCTCAGCACTCATGGTGCCCTCAGCACTCATGGTGCGACAGGGTTCCCCCCACTCTCGCACGCACCTTAGTGAGCGCTGTCTTGGCGCCGGTGCCGATGAGCGTGACCCCATCTACCACTGCATCTTCTGACCCCTTGAGCTTCATCTCGTCCGCTTTGCCTGTCACCGTGTTGATCTTGCATGCATACACGTCACCACTCGTGATGTGCTGAGAGGCAGAGGGGGGGGGGGCCACAGAGAGGGGCGACAGAGGACAGGGCAGCAATATAAAGAGAGGAGGGGTGTTACTTCAATAGCTTCAGCTTCACCTCGTCCGCCTTGCCTGTCACCTTGCATGCATACACTTCACTGCTCGTGATGTGCTGTAAAGAGTGGTGTGGGAAATGGGGGCCAACAGATGAAGAGCCATGAGAGTCGATGCTCCACTTGTGCATCATGACCTGACCTGTTGCTAGCCTAGCCGCCCACCCCAGCATCTGCACTCGCAAATCCTTCCCCACCCTGCCTCGCTCCCCACCTCCCCTCGTAACAACACGCACCTCCCCAGGCCGAGGCAGCCCATCGGTGTCAATGGTCCACTTGTGTGCGCGCCGGTTGCTAGCCGGCCGCCCCAGCATCTGCACGGGCAAACCCTCCCCCTCTCTTCTGCCTCTTCCTCTGTCCGTCCGTCCTCCCCTCCTCTCCCTCTCTCCCTCCCCTCATAACACACGCACCTCCCCAGGCCGAGGCAGCCCATCGGTGTCAATGGTCCACTTGTGCCCGCGCCTGTTGCTAGCCGGCCGCCCCAGCATCTGCACAGGCGAACCCTCCCCTCTCCTCCCTCAAAGCTCTCACCTCCCCAGGCCGGGGCAGCCCGTCGGTGTCAATGGTCCACTTGTGAGCACGCCGGTTGCTAGCCGGCCGCCCCAGCATCTGCACGGGCAGCCCGGACGGCGTGAACCTGGCCATACGTGCCGTGCCGCCCTGGGTGGCCTCGATTAGCTCGTTCTGGCGGGGAGCGGGATCCGGGCGGCAAGGGCGAAAATGACAGTTTTGAGGAAAGACAGTTTTGAGGCAAGGCAGTCCTGAGGCGCCTCAAGACGGTGTGAACCTGGCCATACGTGACGTTGACCCCTGGGTGGCCTCAACTAGCTCGTTCTGGGGGGACTGGGATTCAGGCAGCAACGGTGTTAACGACAGTTTTGGGACAGTTTTGAGGCGCCTCATGACAGTGTGAATCTGGCCATACGTGCCGTGGAGCCCTGGGTGGCCTCAGTTAGCTCGTTCTGGGGGGACTGGGATTCGGGTGGGCGGCAGGACAGACAGTGATGAGGCAAAAAGAAATAAGGTTCATGAGGGCACAGGGAGTGGCTATCGGATTGGGCTAGGTGCATTGTAGATGTAACCGTACCTTGTGGATGCAACCGTACCTTGTAGATGTAACCGTACCTTGTGGATGCAACCGTACCTTGTAGATGTAACCGTACCTTGTAGATGTAACCGTACCTTGTAGATGTAACCGTGGCCAAAGCCCCTCTCCATGGACGACTTGTTGATGATCATTGCATCCTCCATGTCGTACCTGGTGCACGGGCAGGTGAACGGGCAGGTGAAAGGGCAGGTGAACGGGCAGGTGAACAGTCACTTGAAGTTGAAAGGAATACAAGCAGCCAACGAGCGGAAGGTTAGCGTGCGATAGGAAAGGCGTTCAACCATGAGATCACAATCCTGCAGTGTACCCCTTATAGCACACCCCACATACCCGGTATAAGCCAACACGGCTACCACGACATTGGCCCCCGTGGGATACTGGTCCATCCATGGCATAGTCGTCATACGCACTTGTGCTGCCCCATCCCCCCCCATCCCCTTTACAGCGCACCCCATCCCCATGATTACCCCGTATAAGCCAGCACCGCAACGACCGCGTTGGCCCCGGTGGGGTACTGGTCCATGGCATAGTCGTCATACGCAGTTGTGCGTGCGATGGGCGTCTGAGGGGTCTGCAGGCGGTACAGCTTGTTGTCGTTGCGGAAGGGGAACGTGTGCAGTGGCATGCCCATCGTCTGCTTGCCCATCTGGTCGATTTGAGCATGGACACACGCACACACACACACACGGAGAAGCAGATGCAGACACACAGAGGGAAGAAAGGAGGTTGAAGCGCCTCAAAACGTGAAGCAGGGAGGGAGCATTGGTGGCGTCTGGGGGGTCTGCAGGCGGTACAGCTTGTTGTCGTTGCGGAAGGGGAACGTGTGCAGTGGCATGCCCATCGTCTGCTTGACCATCTGTTGGACAGACACACGAGACATGCATGGGAGCCACAGACACACAGACAGACAGAACCATGTTGAGACGAGGGGCAGTAAGAGCACCTCAGAAGCACATGAAAGGGGGTGCCATTCAATGCTGACCTGGAAAGGGTACATGTCGTGCTGACCTGGCACTGGAGCATGTTGTGCTGACCTGGCACTGGTACATGTTGCGGGGGCTCTGGTTGTAATCGGACCAGGGGGTCAGGCTCGCCATCACACTCAGTATGTCCGTCGGCCGAACCTCCTCGTGCGTCGCCGAACCTGCCGCCGAGGCTTGGCCGGAAGGGGCGGAAGTGGACGACGAACCATCAGGGCAGATCACGTCGAGAAAGACCTGCCGGGGAGGAGGACGGGAAGAGGGGGGAGGGGAGGAAAGGGAAAGGAACAGTAGGGAGAAAGCAGGAGAAGGGGGAGAACGAGGAAAGAAGAGACATGGAAAAAGGAACTGTACGGTTCAGGGGGGTTGTAGTGCTGCGAGCAAGCTAGGGGGAAAAGACGTCATGACCACAGGAGTGGGAGTGGCAGTGGGAGTGGGAGTGAGAGTGGGAGTGAGAGTGGGAGTGGGAGTGGGAGTGAGGGTGGCAGTGTCAGCGGGAGTGAGTATGGGAGTGGGAGTGAGGGTGGGAGTGGGAGTGAGGGTGGGAGTGGGAGTGAGGGTGGGAGTGGGAGTGGGGGTGGAAGTGGGCGGGCGTGGGCGTGGGTGTGCGCTAGGGCTTGTGAGAAACCCTGCAGTTGCAACAAGCGCTTCTGCACCAACAGCATGCCATAGCTTCTCTCACATTGGTGCCCGTGCCTTGACCAGCACACTGTGACCAGCACACTGTGACCAGCACTGCGACGGCCAGTGTTGGTTGAGTTGAGTGACCTGACGGACACACTGACCATCTAAACGCCCCGCCACACACACTAGTGCCACACTGACCATCGTTACCCCACCTGCTCAACACCGACAGTCATTAACGTCACCTCACCTGCTCACTGCCGATGAGCTCAAACGTGGGGGCTGCAGCGGCCCGGGGGTTGAGGAAGGGCAGCTGGCGCACAGGACGAACGAATGAGGAGGGGGCTGGCTACAGTGCCTGTCCCACCACCAGCATGCTATCCTGCTGTCACCACCCCCACCCACCTGCTCTAGACTGCCGATGAGCTCAAACGTGAGTGCTGCGGCGGCTCTAGGGTTGAGGGAGGGCAGCTGGCGCACAGGCCGAACGGATGCAGGGGGCAAGGGGAAGGGGACGAGCTCACCTGCTCTAGACTGCCGATGAGCTCGTATGTGGGGGCTGCAGCGGCCCGGGGGTTGAGGGAGGGTAGCTGCCGCACAGGCCGAACGAAGCGAGCTGGAGCGGAGAAGAGGAAGATGCCCGGGAAGGTTCCTTGCTGGGAGAATGGGATGTAGGCGACCTCTAGGTCGCGAGGGATCTGCGAGCAGAGGGGGGAGGTTTGGGGGCAAGGGGTGGGAGAAGGGAAACATGGGTTGGAGGTAATGGTAATGGTAATGGTGATGGTAATGGTGATGGTAATGGTAATGGTAATGGTAAAGGTAATGGTAATGGTAAAAGTAATGGCCATGATGGTAATGGTAATGATAAAGGTAATGGTAAAGCTAATATAATGGTAAAGGTAGTAGTAATGGTAAAGGTAAAGGAAAGGTAATAGGTAATGGTAAAAGTAATGGTAATGGTAATGGTAAAAGTAATGGCCATGGTAATGGTAAAGGTAAGGTAAAGGTAATGGTAATGGTAAAGGTAAATTTAATAGTAATGGTAAAGGCAAAGGTATGATGATGTTAATGGTAATACTAATGTTAATGTTACTGGTGATGGTGTCCAAACCACACCCCAACCATAGAAACACACAGTTAGAACCACTCACACCAGCCTCGCCCGTAGCCTTGAGGCATCTCAGATGCTTCACAGCAGCCGGTGCCATGTCCGAGTGAATGTGCCCCAGCAAACACCCATCCACCATCACCGTCAGAAACACCGCCACCAGCCCCATTGCACTTCAAACCACCAAGCCATACCCCAATCACAGAAAGACACAAAGAGCGTCACTCACCCCTGCTTCACCAGTGGCCTTGAGGCACCTCAGATGCTTCACAGCACCCGGTGCCATGTCCGAGTGAATGTGCCCCAGCACACTCCCATCCACCATCACCGTCAGAAACACCGGAGTGGGGGCAGGGGGCGGCACCCCCGCCCCCACTGCCGCCAGCCCAAATGGGGCCAAACACCGCAGCACTGCCCGGCCAATCGCGTCGCGGGATTTCACCGAACCAACCCCCGAACCTAGCCCCGAGGTTAGGGAGCTTGCCCCGGGGGTGCCACCAGGTGTGGAGGGGGTGTGGGGGACGAGTGCAGAGCCAGGGGTGGAGGGGAGGAGGGCTAAGGCGGAGGAGGGGGCGGAGGGGGAGGGGGAGGCGAGGGGAGGGGGGGTGAGGTCGGTGGTGACAGTGCAAGGGGCTGAGAGGTGGGTGAGAAGGCCGCAGGGGGCGCCGTCTGGTGTGTGCACGGGACACACGAACCCCCATGACCTGCCACGGACGGGGAGGGGTGGTGAAGAGCAGAGATGGGGACAGGAGGAGTGAGGTCGGTGGTGACTGTGAATGGGTCTGATAGGTGGGTGAGGAGGCTGCAGGGTGCCCTGTCTGGTGTGTGCACGGGACACACGAAACCCCATGACCTGCATTCATGGGGTGGGACGCAAGGAGGGGTGTTGGGAGATGAGGGAGTGAGGAACGGAGAAAGAAAAACAAAAAGTGCTGCTCGTTGAGTGATTGAGGAGGCCGCAGGGCAGGGGGGCCCCACACCTCCCACCTCCGCCCCCCCTTAGGCTCACTCACTCTGGCAGCTGCTTGCGCACAGTGGTCCCGGTGAGCGAGGAACGCCCCTCAATGCACGGACCGGAAATGTGATGTCACTCGATACCTCAAGGTACCGGTGCCAGTTGAGCTTATCAGCCGCGATCGTGAACCCCGACCTCTGAGACATGTCCAGACCCGACGGACTGGCCAGGTTCCCCGTGTTGACCTATGCCCTTCCCTATGAACGTCATCGCCAGCCCGGCCCTGACAAGCTCTATACTCCCACCCCCGTCCCCCTCCCACACCCCCCACACTAAAGCCCACTTACTCTGGCAGCAGCTTGCGCACGGCGGTCGTCCGGAGCGTCGAGAAGAACGCCCCGCGATGAACCGACCGGAAATGCGAGAGGTACCGGTGCCAGTTCAACTTGTCCGCAACAATAGTAAACCCCGACTTCTGAGACATGTCCAGGCCTGACGGACTGGCAAGGTTCCCCGTGCTGAGCATGTATTCAATGTCCTTCCCTATGAACGTCATCGCCAGCCCGCCCGCCGGCCCCGCCCCTGCCCGGGCGGCAGTGCCTGTTGCGCGGGCGGAGGAGCCGCCCTCTACGAGGCGGCGCAGCCAGTTGGAGGCGCGCAGGTCCGTGGCGGTGGGGTTGTCCACCAGCTCCTGGGCGGCATGCGCTTGGATCTTGTGCAGATGTAGCTGTAGCTTCTCCTGAGAGGGTGGATGGAGAAGAATGGGGAGGGGAGGCCAGAGAAGGGGTGGGCGGCATGCGCTTGGATCTTGTGCAGGTGCAGCTGTAGCTTCTCCTGTGATGGTGGGATTGGTGAAGGGGAAACGGAGGGGGCGGGTGGCGGGAGAAAGGGGGAGGGAATTGAAACGAGGGAGAATTTTAAGCAATGTGTAATGTGGAGATGGGAAGATGGAAAGGCATGAAACGGCAGGGCGTGCAGGGACATGTAAAGGCGTGTAGAGACAGCAGAGCAGATGACATTGATAAGAAGGTGACCTTGATTAAGACAAGAGAGTGAGGATGTGGGCGGGTAGGAAGAGCTGGCATATGAGTGAGTCGACACAAATGAGAGTGACATATGAGTGAGTCGACACATATGAGAGTGACATATGAGTGAGTCGACACTTGGTGTGTGCGTGAGCAATACGAGCACGAGCAGGGATAGAGAGGGAGCGGACCTTGATGAAGTTGTTGAGGATGTGACCGGGCAGAAAGAGCTCGTGGTGCATGAGCGTGTACAAGCTGAGTTGACTCAAAGAGAGAGAGAGAGCATGCGCTGGGCTTGTGTTGTGCACGCAGGCAGGGAAGGGGAGCGGACCTTGATGAAGTTGTTGAGGATGTGGCCGGGCAGGAAGAGCTCGTGATGCATGAGCGTGTCTTGAGAGTCCTCCTGGGATAGCCCATCCACCATCGACCATAGCTTGTGCAACATGAAGCTGGTGGGGAGAGGGGGAGGAGCACGAAGACAAGAGAAAAAGAAAGCACAGGCACAAGGCATAGAGAGCCAAGCGGAAAAGGGGGAGATGAGGCCTATAGCGAGCCAAGCAGGCGCAGCTTGCCCATGGGCTTGTAAAGATGCCCACGGCTTGTATAGGGGCCCGCATTGAAGGTACAGAGAGGCAGGACAAAAACAAACTCAAAGGCGCAGGCAACTCTCACGAGCCAAGCAGGCGCAGCTTGCCCATGGGCTTGTAAAGATGCGCGAGGTCCGTTGGGGCATGTGTGGCGGCACATGGAGGGAACAGTACAGGGAAGCACACAGAGACGACATGTGGAGGGAAGAGGGCGACTCACACGAGCAGGCGCAGCTTGTTCATGGGCTTGTTAAGATGCACTAGCACGAGGTGCGTGAGGCATGAGGAGGAGGGTACAGGGAGCCACATGGATGGAAGCTTGAGGGAGCAATACACACACAGACGGAGGAGGGCAACTCACACGAGCAGGCGCAGCTTGCCCATGGGCTTGTCGAGATGCACGAGGTGCGTGGAGGCATGTGTGGCGGCATGTGTCGAGGCACGTGCGGGCACCACATGAATGGAAACTAACAAGAGGTAGCATGCAACTCTATGTTGCACTATACGCTTTTGAAATTTAAACGTATCGCGTATATGCGTTCACGTATAAACGGGAAAACGTGAAACGGGGACAAATACGCGATACGTGAATTCGGGCAGGGCAAAAAAAATTCCCAAAAAAAAATAAAGTTCGCGCTTTTTCCGTACGCACGTATTCCAACATTTCGGGTCGCGTTTTTCCAACCTGTGGACGTGCAAAACCGAATCGCCACGTTCACCCCACGAAACTCAACAATGCCCAATCACCCCCAACAACTCGTGACCAACCAGAGCACGTCCCCCACCCCACAACCAATTCGTGGTAGGTATAATTGACCCCACCACAACACATCTCTCATTCCTGTTCAGTTCAGTGTTGAGCTATGTCTACTCCAGTCCCTTCTAACCACACTCAGCCTTCTGGTCCGTCTACTCAGCATACCGATCCTTCTGCCTCGACTTCGGAGGCGCAATGGCTGGAGGAGGATAGTACGCATGTCGTCTTCAAGCATTTCAAGGTTCCCATCCGTCCCGACACAGTCGGGACTATCCGCGTTTGCAAGTATTGCTCCAAGGAGTTCAAGGGTGGTGCGTTCCGATGCGCTCAGCATCTCGCGAAATGGAAGGGACAGCGCTCTCGCGACGTCCGCCTGTGCGCTAAGGTTCCGGCCGACGTGCGAGCGGCGGTGGCCGCGCACTACGAGAAGAAGGCGTCCAACTGCGACGAGAAACGGCGGGCCGAGGATGCTGCGCTCAATGCTGTCGTGGGAGGTGCGAAGAGAGGACGCATCACCGACTTCATCGGCGACGAGGCGCAGTGCAAGAAGGGCGAGGCGGACTACGCCGTCAGTTTGTTCTTCGCCGGCTGTCGCATTCCCGAACACCACGCCGACAACCCGTTGTGGCGCAACATGATCAGGGCCATTAACAACGCACCCCATGGTTACCTTGCGCCGCGACGGAACTACATCGGAGGAGCTGGTCTGAAGCAGTGCCGCACGAGCATCGAGAAGGGGCTTCAGCCAATCGCCGCGAGCTGGAAGAGGGATGGCGTCACCGTCTCCTCCGACTTGATGACCGATCGGTGCGGGAGGCCGCAAGCGAACGTCATGCTGGTCAACGATTCAAGAGCGGTGTTCGTGGAGGCTATCGACTGCAACATGGAGTCCAAGACCGGCGGCTACATCGCGTCGCTCCTCCGCCCCATCATCGAGAAAGTGGGGCCCCAAAACGTGGTCGCACTTTGCATGGACGGCGGATCCAACTACGGTGCCGCCTGCAAGGAGCTGATGGCGGATTGGCCCCACATCGAGTACGTGCCGTGCGCTACGCACGTACTCGACCTCCTGTTGGAGGACGTGGGCAAGATCACGTGGTGCAAGGACATTGTGGATCAGTGCGGGGACATGATCACCTACGTGCGCAACCACCATTTCACCCGCAACTACCTGAGGAGTAAGAAGGTGAAGGGAGGAAAGGGGAAGCAGCTTGTGAAGCCGGCGGGGACGAGGTTCGGCACCAACTACATCGCCCTCTCCAGGCTCGTCGAGCTGCGGTCCACGCTGTCGCAGATGGTGCTGAGCGAGGAGTTCGCCAACTGGTCGGCGGGGGCTAGGAAGACGACGGCGGATACATTCCGCGGGCAAGTCATGGATGACGCCTGGTGGAAGAACGCTGCGTACCTGGCGGAGCTGTTGGCAATTCCATTCAAGGTGATGCGCGCCACGGACAGCAGCGCCAAAGGGATGATGGGGACCATCTACGACCTAATGCTCCAGCTGACCGAGGACGTGAACGACAAGCTGGAAGCGGGGGAGAAGATCTTGCCGCGGGCGGTTGCGACTGGCATTGGGAAGATTGTTCGGCGCCGTTGGGACGAGAGCCTTGCGTGTGCTCTTCACGTCGTGGGGCGGATCCTCAACCCGGCAAATCAGGAGGAGGGTATTTTCCGCAACGACATGGAATGTACCCGCATCTTCAAGGCCTTCATCGCACGTCACTACGACGGTAAGACGTTCACCAACAAGGACGGTGAGGAGAGGCGTGCCTCTCTTGTTTTGCAGGAGGGGCTCACGGCCTTCCTCACCCTTGATGGTTCCTTCGGCCTTCCTGAGGCAATTGCCGACAGGGAGGCCGTGAAGGCAGGCAAGCTGTCGATGGTGGCGTGGTGGGGATGGCACGGGACTGACCACCCCCACCTGGCCAGCCTTGCGTGCCGTGCCCTGACACAGCCGGTGTCGGCGTCGCCGTGTGAGCGCGGGTGGGCATCATTCGAATCGGTGCACACTGCCCGCCGCAACAGGCTAGGCTCGGAGAAGCTCCGAGACCTAGTTTTTGTGACCCACAACTGGCGTGTGGTCCACAAGTACCACAAGATGGGTGAGTCATTGGCGGTGCTTCCGGGCAACATGCCTGAACCCGCTCTGCCGGAGGGATACAACAAGGAGGAGGAGGAGGAGGAGGAGGAGGAGGGGGAGGAGGATGAAGGCGTGCTGGCCGATGAGTACGTGAAGTAAGAACGGCAGCAGCAGCAGTGTAAGTGGTTCAGGAGCTGGGCATGCAAGAGGAGTAGAGGAGGAGAAGCAGATGAAGGTTTGGGGAGTAGGGGAGTAGGGGAGAAGGGGAGAAGGGGAGTAGGGGAGTAGGGGAGTAGGGGAGTAGGGCCCTAGGGGAAGTAGTTGCTAGTATGTGTGTACTTGCAATGCATGTTTGTAATGGGGAAAAAAAGTTTCATACGTCGGGAAAAAACCAACTGCACAAGGTCAAAATGAACATAGGCAGCGTGACTCACCCCCCCATACTTTTTTTCCCTGCCCGGAACTTTTTTTCACCTGCCCGGGCGACCGTATTTCGAGCGTATCGTGGGGCTGAAATCGCCCGTATCACGTACGTACGTGAGCGTACAGTACGTACGCGACTGGTACGTGAAACGCGTATTTTGCAACATAGATGCAACTCACACGAGGAGGCGCAGCTTATCCATGGGCTTGTCGAGATGCACGAGAACCAGGTCCGTTATGATCTGCTGCCCCACCTGTGGGACGGGGGTTGCAGAGTTGGGAGACGGAGAGGAAAAGAGGGAGTTGGAAAAGGAGGAAGGAAGGGGATGCGCGAGGAAGGAGGAGAGATTCAGGAGCAAAAGGCCGCGTATGATTCGTTTCCCTGCCACTCACATATGCATCAGGCTTGTAGCTGGGAATGTTCAAAGTGGGTCAGAAGGTCTTGTGGACAAAAGCGAGGCAGTCCATTTGGGTGAACCAGCCTCAGTCAGACTTCAAAACAAGCCACTCACATATGCGTCGGACTTGTAGCTGGGCACGTTCACAGCAGGCCTAAAGGTCTTGCCTAGGAAAGCCAGGCATTCCATGCGAGTGAAGAGGCCCAGAGAGCGCGGGTGACTCAGCACCACCAGCGCCCTCTCCCTCACAAACTGCGTTCCCAACCCCGCAGCCGCCGCCGCCGCTGCCGCCGCTGTTACTGGTGATGATTTTGTGGCTGCCCCTGCTGCTCCTCCTTCGGTTGCTGTGAGCTGCTTGTCGGTCTCCGGAGGGTCGGCTGCAGCCTGCTCTGCTGTGAGGATGGCCGTCAGATGCTCGTACAGCTCTGCATCTGAGACGTCCATTAGGCACTGGAGGGGAGATTACGGAGTGGTGAGAGGGGGGAAGGTAAGTGGGACAGGAAGCCAGGTAAGCCGTTGGATGAGGATAGACGCTCTGCATCTGGACCAGCTGTTGCTCAATGAGCAGTTGATCGCACCAAAAAAGGCACAGTGACAGGAAACAAATGGTACTGGTGGGGGGTGCCATGCCACACAGGAAGTGCGTTCATGCGTGTAGGCCAGCCATACAGGCAACACGTGAATGGCCACAGGCACCTTGGGATTTCCGGCACAGCACCCACACACACGTACCATTCACCACCGCGTTGAAACGTTCACAACACCTGCAGGCAGCTCACCTTGAGAATGATCCCCACAGGGATGAAATACTCTTGCTTCCTCAGGCTGTAGGGGAGAGAAAGTAGATGCAGAGAGGGAGTGTGGGTGGGGGAAGGAGAGAAAACTGGGGCATCAGGTGAGTCGAGTGGAGTGGTAGGGGAGGAATGATCATTGAAGGATTGCATGAGCATTTTTCAGATTGAGCATTTTTCAGATTGAGCATTTTTCAGACTGAGCATTTTTCAGATTGAGCATTTTTCAGATTGAGCATTTTTCAGATTGAGCATTTTTCAGACTGAGCATTTTTCAGATTGAGCATTTTCAGATTGAGCATTTTTCAGATTGAGCATTTTTTAGGAGGTTCAAAAAGAGGAATGATCAGTTTGAGGATTGGATGTGCATGTGTAGACATGCAGTGACTGGTGGCGAGGGGGAATGGTGAGGAAGAAACGGGAAGTGAGGACGGAAAGAGGAAAGGGAGGCAGACTGACTGGAGGGGAGGGAGAGGAGAGGGTGGTGAACTGGGGGAGGGGTGCGGTGGGAGAGGCGGGAAGGGAGGAGGGCTGGGAGGGGGGACGGGGGAGGGAAGGGTGGTGGATGGAGGGGTGGTGGAGAGAGGGAGTGAAGGCAGGAGGGAGGGTGGGGAGGGAGTGAAGGAGAGTATAAATCAACAGTGAAGGAGGGAGAGAAGGCGCGGAGGGACTGACGAGAAGTTGAAGCATGCATTGCCGTCGTTGACGTAGACAACCCGGTTGGTCACTGCTGATTGGTCAGTGCGCACACACCTGCATGCACCACATGCCATGCCATGCATAGTCAAGAAGGACACCATGCCATGCCATGCCATGCCATGCCAAGCCATGCCATGCCATGCCATGCCATGCCAAGCCATGCCATGCCATGCCATGCCATGCCAAGCCATGCCATGCCATGCCATGCCATGCCATGCCATGCCACACATAGTCCAGAAGGACACCATGCCATGCCGTGACGTGTCGTTGATTCACCATGCCAATGCACATAATATCATCATCATGCCATGTCAGGTCATCATCATGCCATGTCAGATCGTTATCATGCCATGTGAGAGGCGCTAAGATGGCATGACAATGACATGGCATAATGAAATTTAACCCTTTTTCCCATGACCTACTATGTACATACATGCACACCATGCACAGTGCACCCCAGCTGCATCTCATCTCATGCTCACCGGATAGTGGTGGCCATATCACTGAAGTTGAGCCCCTTCTTTAGCAGCGTGGGGCGTCGCAGATTCATCACCTGGTCGTGTGTGTGGGGGGGGGAGGGGGGGGGGAGAACGGGGAGCAGGGAGGGAGCGGAGGGGGGGAGGGCGACTCAGAAGGAGGGAGAGGCGGCGGCGTGACCATCACTCAGTCAAGGAAAGAGGGGCAGCAGCGGTGCGCCTGCAACAGCAAGCTGTGCTTTATAGCTGCGCTGCGTTTGAATCACGTCACGGCATGAACCCCTAGTTGAAAGCACTGAGCCTGTTTCAAAAGACAGCAGGGTTGACCGTACTTATGAAGATTGGAAACGCACTTCCAATGAGTGTACTAAGCTCACAGCGACGTTTGCCTCACATCACAGCAACACAACAGTGGGCTCACATAGTTGCGGCGGGGAGCAATGAGCAGGCGAATGAGACGCTCGATGCCGTTGCAAATGAAGTAGCTGTTCGCATGGGAGATGCGGTGGGGCATGGGGATGGCACACGGGGATGGAGGGTAAGAGGCATAGGGGGCTGGGATGGATAGAGCAAGGGGAGTGTGGGCATGAACCCCATGAATGACAGGGGGAGCAATGAGCAGGCGATTGAGGCGGTCAATGTCGTTGCAGATGAAGTAGCTGCTCGCATGGGAGATGCGGTGGGAATGGCAAGATGAATGGGATGGCATTAAGGGGTCTCATAGGATAATGATCCGTTTTAATCGTGACCAAACCGGAATGACTGACAGGAAAAACATTGCAGTTGGGGAACAGGAAATGGAGATAAGGGATGGGTGGGGCATGGGGACGGGGTGGGGCTGTGCATAGGGAGCGCACATGCAGAAGCTCCCTGGAGAAGGAAAGAAGGAAAAACAGAGAAAAACTTCCAGCATGTCGCGCTATGAGAAAAAAACCCAGAACCATACAGCACCGCACAGAACCGCACAGCAAACCCGTTTCACCACAAGGCCCAGCTCACCCGCCGAGCTCGATGCTCTCCTCCTTGCGCCGCACGAGCTGTTCCTGAGTGAGATGGCGCAGATGACATGAGCCAGACTGAAGGAGTGCGCAGGGGTACAGAGGGGTACGCACGCAGGGGTGCACAGGGATGAAGATGGGCATGCATGAGTACTCACGTCTCGAAAGTTCACACGAGCTGCTCCTGCATGGGACCGCATGCACCGCGCTGCATGCAGCGGGCCAGGGGGGAACAGAGCGGAGCATTCAGGGATAAAAACAACGGAATGCAGGGGTGCAGCACGGCTGGAAGGAAATGGCTTGCACTTCTTCTGCACTTCAACTTAATCGCTCCTGCTCGTGCCACGTCAGCACGCACCTTGACCATGATTGGCACCCTCCCCAGGCTCAGCTGCTGGCGCTGCATGGGGCCCTTGGCCACGTCAGCAAGCGCCACGTCATCATCCTCGTCGAAATAGGAAACGCAGAGGTCGATGCGGAAGTCGCCCCTGTAGGTGGTGCCTGCTTGGCGGCACTGGTGTGGCAGCACAGCAGGAAGGAGAGGGGGAAGGAGGGGTGTGAGGGTGTTTTTGAACAAGTATGACAGCATAAGGGAGAGAGGAAGGGGACGGGAACAAAGACTCATCCATGCGAAAGTCGCCCCAATAGGTGGTGCCAGCCTGGCGGCACTGGTGTGGGAGCACGGCAGGGGGGAGACGGAGAAGGAGGGGTGAGAGGGTGTTTTTGAACAAGTGTGATATAAGGGGAGAGGGAAAGAGGATGGGAACAAACACCCGTTGATGCGGAAGTCGCTCCTGTAGGTGGTGCCCGCCTGGCGACACTGGTGTGGGAGCGACGAAGGGGAAGAGGGCAAAAAGGGGCGGAGGAGGGGTGTGGGCGATGGTGGAAAGAAGGTCTTTTTTTGAGGCGTCTCAAGAAGGGGAAGATGGCAAAAGGGAGGGGAGGAGGGGTGTGGGGGATGGTGGAAAGGAGATCGATGCGAAAGTCGCCCCGATAGGTGGTGCCAGCCTGGTGGCACTGGTGTGGCATGGCAGGAAGTGGGGGAAGGACGGGTAAAGAGGGGGAAAGGGGGGAAAGGGGGGAAATGGGGGAACGGATGGTAGGTGGTGCGTGCTTGCCGGTGCTGCCATGGCAGCAAAGGAGGAATGGGGAGGAGAGGCAAGGGCAGCGAGTTTGCTGGCCATCCTCGCTAAAAGCTCTCGACAGTACTCAAATGTCCGAAGTAATGTACCTCTGAGGGGTAAACGGGTCGGTGCTGACCATCCTCGCTAAAAGGCTTTGTGATGCTCGGATTCTCCCACCACACTGCGTAGAAAACGGAAACAAGGAAACCCGAAATCTCAATTCCAAAGGAGTTGATGAAAAAGGGAGACTAGAAGGATTTGCTCACAGTAGAAATGAGGGAATGCGAATGCAGTAGTTGCATATGCGGAGGAGAAAGATGCATGTCAGTCAGCGAAAATCACTTCGCTGATCTCACAACCATTCATAGGTCTCGGGTTTTGGGTCTTACAGTAGAATCTGAGCTTCCTGAACGAGTCGTGCACTTCGACGGGTCGAATCAGGCGAACAGCCTCTGGTAACCCGCGCTCGACGAAATAGTCGAAGGAGTCGATGTGCGGCGCGACGAGGTTCTCGAGGTTCTCCGGCACGCCCTGCCTCACATCGTCTCCCTCGAACGACACCGCCATGCGCGCGACCTGCGCTGCGCTACACACACGCGGTCGCTGCGCTAACTGGCAATCGCTACGCTGGGATAACTCACGAAGCGCACTGCGCTAACACACACGCGAATCAACAGACGAACGCGCAAGCGCGGGAATGCGAGAAGGGAACGAAGGAGCAGACGCGCGAACGACCTGCGGCGAGGTCCCGAACTCAGCTTGACCGCTTCGCGGGAATGAGAGAACGAAATGCCTAAGGTGGCGTCGCGTGCACAGACAGCACTACCCGCTCCGCGCGCCTCCTCCGCACGCTCAACGAGGAAACGATGCGCGACGCTTTTCTCCCTTCTCACCGCGCACGAGCGAATAACCTAATTTAACAGAATATCCTAACGCAGCTCCAGTCGATAATGAACGACGCAGCGCGGGAGGCAACTTCCAGGTAAACAGGTCACGATACAACTGGTGCAAGCAACTGCTGGCGGCGACACTACAAGCAACGGTGCCTCGAAAACGGTGCTGATCGACGATCCGGTACGGCAATGTGACTGTAACGAAGCCTGACCGCCTGGGGCGTAGATTATCCGCGAGTCTTTCAGCCAAATACGACCCTCGGCAGGTAATGAAGCTACTCGTCAACCTGCCAGTAGAGCATCCCTGTCGCCTTACACCTCCTAAACCTCGATTCTACCTCGGCGAACTGTGATTCTGTGATTCTGTGATTCTGACAGCCAACTCCTGAACCTCTCCTTCCGGTATTGTCCTCGTTTGAAGACGATAGAGCAAATTTCTGTTGAGGAACTAAATTTTCAAATGGTGAGGGAGGCGAAATATATGGACTTGCAGGTCTATCACTATTATATTTCTGAAATGGCAATGTTAACTAATGATTGTGAACTAGATAACTAGTCATTACTTCCAAAACGCAAGATTCAGAGTCTTAGAATAGAAGACAGCTAACAATAAACGCAGAATCCAATATTTTAAACAAGGCCTTTATTCATCTCGTGTATATGCAGCCTGCATCAAGAAAGAATACGTTATTTTCTCGCTTTTCAGTTGCATATAACTGAAACCGAAAGGGTAATTTAAACTGATACACAATTGCAGCGCCACATGAGCACGTGTCCTTAATACCCATCTGAGCAGCATAAAAAATCTTGCCCCATCGCTTTTCTCCCTACTCTCCAAAAACTTCCACCATTGCTCAGCCTCCTCTCATTTCTGCCTTGCTTGCCTGCCCTTCTGTACTCCCCTCCAGCTGTTGTCGCCATCCCTGGGATATGCCATGCCATGCCATGCCATGCTACCATCCCAGGCATGCCATGCCATTCCATATTATGCTATCCCAGGCATGCCATACCATTCCATGTTATGCCATGCCATGCCATGCACAGAATGGCATGGCACACAGCATGGCAAAGCACACAAAAGAAGATTAAAATCAAATCAGAACTTTGCAGTGGCATCACCGCCATATGGCTCATCATGTGCCACCAAACAGCATCTTGCTATCATGGGACAGAGGGAGGAAAACAGAGAGTGAGGCGACAGAGGGAGTATACAGGGGGAGGGAAACAGAGAGAGAGAGAGGTGACAGAGGGAGGATACAGAGGGAGGAAAACAGAGAGAGGTGACAGAGGGGGGATACAGAGGGAGGATACACTCACCGACACGCACCCAGCAACCATCCAGAACACACCACCCAAACAAGTGCACCAGAACACCACCACCTACAATCAACTACCCACCCACCCATCCAGAACAACACACCACCCCTTCCTTCTCACCCATCCCACTTAAGGGGATTCACCCCTTCTCCTTCTCACCCATCCCACCCAAAGGGATTCATCCCATCCTTCTCACCCATCTCACCCAAGGGGATTCATCCCTTCCTTATCACCCATCCCACCTCTCACCCATCCCACCCAAGGGGATTCACCCCTTCCTTCTCACCCATCCCACCCAAGGGGATTCACCCCTTCCTTCTCACCCATCCCACCCAAGGGGATTCACCCCTTCCTTCTCACCCATCCCACCCAAGGGGATTCACCCCTGCCTTCTCACCCATCCGACCCAAGAGGATCCCCTGCCTTCTCACCCATCCCACCCAAGGGAATTTACCCCTGCCTTCTCACCCATCCCACCCAAGGGAATTTACCCCTGCCTTCTCACCCATCCCACCCAAGGGGATTCACCCCTTCCTTCTCACCCATCCCACCCAAGGGGATTCACCCCTTCCTTCTCACCCATCCCACCCAAGGGGATTCACCCCTTCCTTCTCACCCATCCCACCCAAGGGGATTCACCCCTTCCTTCTCACCCATCCCACCCAAGGGGATTCACCCCTTCCTTCTCACCCATCCCACCCAAGGGGATTCACCCCTTCCTTCTCACCCATCCCACCCAAGGGGATTCACCCCTTCCTTCTCACCCATCCCACCCAAGGGGATTCACCCACCCTTCTCACCCATCCCACCCAAGGGGATTCACCCACCCTTCTCACCCATCCCACCCAAGGGGATTCACCCCTTCCTTCTCACCCATCCCACCCAAGGGGATTCACCCCTTCCTTCTCACCCATCCCACCCAAGGGGATTCACCCCTTCCCTCTCAACCACCCAACCCCCATTCCCTCTCACCAACCTAACCCAAGGGGTTTCAGGCCCCTTCCCTCTCACCCACCCGCGCTCAAGGGGTTTCAGGCCCCTTCTCTCTCACCCACCCGCGCTCAAGGGGTTTCAGGCCCCTTCTCTCTCACCCACCCGCGCTCAAGGGGTTTCAGGCCCCTTCTCTCTCACCCACCCGCGCTCAAGGGGTTTCAGGCCCCTTCTCTCTCACCCACCCACCCAGCCCATCCCACCATCACCTACCAGCAGTAGGAGCAGCAGAAAGCCCACTTTCTTAAGGAAACAGCACCCCCAGAGGCGGTGCCTTGTCGGGCGAGGTGTGGCAGTGAAAAATCGCTTCCAGCCCAAGACTCAAATCCCGCCCCTGACGTAGCTAGAGCTGACGCGAACCAGAGCCGCCGGCCGGTCGGCTCTGACGGTGTCCATTAAGCCTTAAACGCCAGATTGGGAACCTGAGCACCGAGTGCCGTGCCGCGGAGATTCCACCCTCCACACCCCACCCCACAAGGCACATCCCCTGAGAATGCTGCCCCTCAAGAAGTGAACTCCCCACTTGCTCCCATGCTTCCCACCCACCCACCCCACACTTCACCCCCATGCCTCCTTCCTTACCTCTACTTACCTGTACCTACCAGAGCCATGCAGAGCGCCATGATGGTGAGGCTGCTGGGAAGTGGGGAGGGGGGATTAGGGGAGGACGGGACCCCACTGTGGTCTGGTCCAGGCAGGGTGCTGCTGGGAGGGTGGGGAAAAGGGAAAGAGGAGGAGGTGAGTGAGAAGGTGGACTCCACTCTCCTGTCCTTGCTCCACTGCTCCCACCCTCAGGCTGCAAGGGAGAGGGGGAAGAAAGAAAGAGAGGAGTGGATCAGAATACTATACCTAACCTTTTACCATACCTCACCGGGTACCATACCACACCTGATACCACACCTCCCCACAGCTACACCTAGCCTAGACTGCCCTCTAGCCCCCCAGCCCCCACTGCTGCTACTGCTGCTGCCTTGGCCGCTTCTGCTGCTGCAACTGCTGCTGCCGGTCTGCTACTCTGCTTCACTGCTTCTGTTGCTGTAGTCTTCTCTTGATGCCAAGTGACCTGCTGGTGGGCAGAAATGGGAGGTGAGGGACACGAGGGGAGGGGCAGGGGGAACTGGTGAGTTGGCGTGAACAGAAACAGAAGAGCACTAGAGTGGAAAAGAACGAGATTGCAGAAATGAAGGGAGAGCTACTGCAGCAAGTGAACTTGAAAAGGGGAGAGGTGAGCTAAGGCGTGAGGTAACGCACCTTGAGAGGCCAAGCCCATCCCGATACTCTCCCTTGCAGCACTATTTCAGTCCGCTGCTGTGCCGCCTCCTCCCCATCCCCGTGGGTACCTGCACGGCCACCAGGGGAGGGGCGAGCAGGAGTGGCGGTGTTGACCCCCACGCCCCTCCCCTCCACCTGCAATGGCCCACGGAGAAAGAGTAAGTGACTGGAGGAGAGACGAGGGGGTGAAGAAGAAGGGCGGATGCACAACAAACAATCGGAAGAACGAGAGGGGAGGGGGCCACTGGTTCAGACCCAGCTACAAGCCACATACCAAGGGGGGGATATACCAAAGGAGGGATTACCTGCTATACCAGGGGGGGGGGATTACCAGGGGGGGGATTACCCAAGAAAAAGGGACTGTGGCTTGAAGCCTTGGCTCAACCAGAGGCATGCATTGAAGAGACGAGAGACAGAAGGCGCAGCAAGGATGAACATGGAAAGCAAACGAGCTCAAGAGGGAGAACTGGGAGAGGAAGAGCAGGGCAGGGACTTAGCTGTGTGAAGGTTCGGTGGAGAGCAGCTGCTGCCTGTGCACTCCATGTCACTGCCACTCCCGTGTGAGCGACCTGCTGGGAGGAGAGGGTTGCAGAGCGGGACAGAGAGAGGAAGGGAGGAGGGGACGGAGGTGGGGGAGAAGAGGACAGAGGTGTGAAGGGGGAGCAGAGGAATGGGAAGGAAAATGAGGAAAAGAACATAGACGAGTGAGTAAAGCGAGAGAGAAGTCTGGAGAAAGTGAAAGAACGATGCGCGGTGGATGAATGGACTGCTGCAGTGGCACACCCAAGAGACCTCGTACCAGCTGAACCACACTGAATCAAACACCTGAGGCTTTACCAGAGAATGTACCTGTTACCTTGGGGAGGGAGGTCCCTTGAGTGTGATAAAGCGCAGCAGGGAAAAGTGTATGGTGCATGGTGCAAGTAAGACACGAAATGCAACACAAGCGCAAGGGTTGGGAGTAGAGAGGCGGCGAGGGTACTTAGCTGTGGTGGGCTGGGTTTGCTGTTTGTGCACTCCATGTCCCACCCCATGCTCTCCCTCCTGTTGCCCTCCTCTGCCCTCCTGCTACCCTCCTGCTGCCCCTTCCTCCCT